TGAGGGTAGAGCCAGAAGCCACAATAACTTTAATTTCCTTTATTAGCCTGTCTTCCTGGGAACTTAGGAGATAGAATCTGGAAATTTCTGTACCTGACTTTTTCAGAAGTTAAAACATCAGACCTTTGTTTTGCTAACATTCTTCTAATGCTGGCAACTCTTCTACACAGTTATTGTATCTGATGGATGGGGACACAGCTTTAATAAGAGCTTACAAACTGGAAGGATGGCCTCCACTGTGGTTAGATAAGGTTTGGTGGTGGTGAAGACAGTGTGTCTGGAGAAGGTGACTGTTGTTTGCTAATTCTCTAAGAATATCAATATATTAAGTAGATAAAATAGATGGAATGGAATGTAAGGCCTTGAGCAGGAGAGAGTATGGTCTACCAGAAGCTGTGAGAAGTTATGTAAGACTGCCTAGCTTCAAGAACTGTGCGTGTCAAGCTGAGGATTGTGATATGTGAGGTGTTACTCAGTCAATGGACAGTGGAGGTGCAAATGTGAATCTACATACCCCACAAGAATGCTCTGTCACCTGGGTCTAGAGCCTGGGTGGGGGGGTGGTAGAGCGTGGAAAGCCATCAAAAGTTGAGAACAACTTGATCTGATCCTTTAAGTCATTTTCTCCCTCCTCTGAAAAAGCTCTTAGAAATATCATGTGCTACTCTTCACATGAGAATTTGCACTTAAGGACAAATTCTAAAGTGAGGGACAGTGCTTAACAAAATGGAATGAATTATACAAATGACAGTTTACCCTTGAATAAGTTGGGAAAGTTCTTCATCTCCAGGTTAAGAATAAAACAATAAATAATAATTGCTAGAGTAAAAGTTAGACTGAAAAATTGTTCTGTACCCCCAAATTATATTTATTACCTGAGTACTACCAGACACCAGGGTCTTGCGATAACACATATGAATTACTAATTATCAAAATAAGACATTAGTCAGACCTCACTCTCCCTTAATCAAATCCTTCCTTCAGTCAGAACACCTTATCCCTCTGGCTGTCTTCAAGAAGATTTTGAATTTATTTATTATTTATTTATTTATTATTTATTTATTTATTTATATTTCATGTACATATGTGGTTGTATGGCTGTATGCCCATGCCATTGCCTATGTGTCAAGGTCAGAGGACAGCTTTCAATGACTCTCTCCTTTTATCTGGTTGCAGGACCCCTCTCCTTGTTACTGATGTACTGCGTACTCCTAGGTAGCTGGCCTGTTTCTGATGTATTCGCCCACCTCTGCCTCCTGTCTCAAAATTGGAGTACTGAGATTACAGATGTGCATCTTCCCATCTTTTATTTGAGAGAGGGGTGATTCCACGGATTGGTGATTGAACTAGTTATCAGGTTTATGCAGGATGTGCTTTTACCTGTTGAGCCATCTCCCTGGCCTGGGAAGATTTTAAGAGATAAGCAGTGGGCACAATCAAGTTAGAGTCTCTTATCTTAAAGTATGAATGTCTGTTTCATAAAAGAATATTTTACACTCAAAGGCATGGCATAGTAACGTTAAAGGATATTGATAGTGATATCAGGATATTGAGTTGGGAAAATTATCCTAGCAACAAGAGGGAGTCTATTTTTGCAGAGCAGCATTTTTCTGGACCAAATTTCTCTAGCATCTTCTTGTTTTGTGATACCAACTATAAGAACACCTATTATTATGCTATAGATAGGTTAAGGTGGTATAACATGAATTTCGTTCCAAGAAAAAAAATCTGTCCATTCTAGGAATCTGACATTTAGAATGCTGACATTATCCAGATGCATTTTAGACTAATTACTAGACTTCTGTAGACCCCGAGTTCCTATTGATGAGATGGGTGGACTCTTCAGAACGGCTGAGGCATTTTCTTGTGTGTGAACCACGTTAAGTGACTGATCACAGGGGCTGTTTGGCTCCTTATTCTGTGCCCTCAGCTGCTGGCCTCTCAGCTGAAGGGAGAGGGGAAGTCATCTTCCATCTGGGCATTTTAAGAGTGATACCATTTTCTGAACTTGAACAATTTTTCTTTATCACCCTCCCAACACACGCACACACACACGCACACACCCCTCTGTTGTAGGAATGACTTTTAAAAAATGGACTTAATCTAGACTTTTAAAATGGACTTTTAATTAACCTTGGCAAACTCACTGAGCCATGTGCTTTTGTGACCTGGGCACCTGATCTTGTTTCCTGGGAACCTCAATTTGCTCTTCTACCCCAAGACAGGAAATGAATGTGGGTGTGCTTGAGAATTAGCTTATCAAAGTGCTGAAAGACAGCACGCTCATCTTCACTGAAAATGAAGATTGAGAAAGGAAGTTTGACATTGTGTGAATGAGATATTATTAGACCTTATAAGGATGGAATGGCAAAATGGCCTGATAGAATAAAGGTGGATCCAAGTTTATACTTCCCAAATTGAAACTGGAGAAATAGTTTTGAATAAAATTATGAGTAGGCCGGACTCAGGGACACAGTTCCACCCACAGTTCCAAGAGAGATCTGAGTGAATGCGTGCCCTCTGAGTTCTGAGTTTGATCCCACTTTTTCTTTTTCTTTTTTGGTCTTTTTGAGACAGGGTCTCCCTGTAGCCCCAGCTGTCCTGGATTCACTATGGAGATCAGGCTGGCCTCAAACTCACAGAGATCTGCCTGCCTCTGTCTCCAAAGTGCTGGGATTAAAGGCGTGCGCCACCACGCCTGGCTTGATCCCATTTTTAAAAGCTAAAGTTAAGAGTCAGGCTATTTTATTCAGTTATAATTTTAATGTGGCATGATAATGCTACAGTCAAGTTACTAGAGAGACTGAAGTAGGCCTAATTTGGTTACTAAATTAAGAAGCAATCCAAACAAACATTCAGTTAAAAGAAACAAGGGGGCATCATCTCTATTCACTCTTATTTATTAAATAAAGCCTCTAAGCTCTAATTTCAAGTGTCTTTTATGTTTTCTAAGAATTCTGCTTGGAATCAAACAGGATTTGGGCATTTAGTAGCATAACTGGAGGCAGGAATCTATTTCTCACATGTCACAGACAGTTCCTTTCAGTGGCAGTCTTAAGGCACTATTTTGTCAAACATGGTCATAATTACTCCTGTCCACCTGCTATCTTGTGGTGGGAACAACTTGGAAATGTGTCTCCATGAATGAGACCTGGCTACTTGGCTAGGAAACCATCTGCCAAAGACTAAAAAGGACTCTTAAGCTTTGCCTTTGAATAAAATTTGCATCCATGTCTTTTACTGTTTTGATAAGTCAAAACATTAAGAGGGTAGGATTTGACCAAAAATGGAAATGAAAAGAATGCTGGGAATTTGCCCCAATGAGACTCATTCAAATGCAAAATGTACCAGAGGCTGTGAGGAAACCATGGGCAAAACTGCTGCATTTCAAGACACTGATGATGCAGAAAATGTAAATTTAGTGAAAAGTGTTTTAGGATCTTGCTTTGCTCAAATTAAAGCCAATAACTTCAGGTCTCAAGAGACCCCGTGCTCCTCTGACCCAGTATAGACCAGTCAAGAGTGTGAGACGTGATCAGTTTTGCCACTGATTGCAACAGTGGTCCTGTGACTGTCACTTGAAAAGTACCCATGGTCCTTGTTAATATTACTCCTTGGTATGAACTTTCAGAAACTCATCCAAGATAATTAAATTATGAAGAGAATAGATGGTATCGATGGTATTCAGGGGCATTACATCTATATCAAATAAAGCCAGGCCTCAGGGAACCTGCAAATGACAACTAAGACATTTGTCAGACCAAGAAAATAAACAACTTCAATGACTTTCTAGTGCTCTCCTCTCTCCTCTCTCTCTCTCTCTCTCTCTCTCTCTCTCTCTCTCTCTCTCTCTCTCGCACACACACGCACATGGATTCTCATTGCTTCTCCCCTATAAATGTGATCTTATTGTCTTCTTCCCGCCCTCCCTCCCTTTCTCTCTCTCTTTCTGTTTTTGTATACAAGCTTCTCCATCTACCCAGTCCCAGTTCCACTAGTTGAGACCTTAACACCTTACCTAAACTATCTTAGTGCCAAAGTTACAGTCATAGAATTTGAACCGTTTGCACTGACACCTAGGTTTCAGATTTTTTACCAATGTATGGAAATAAAATAATTACTATGGTCGTGGAATCTTACAGAATCTAAATAATATGCTATTATTGAACCTGCTTCTAACATTGATGATAGTGTAGAACCCTGAGACCCTCTTCATTCACCCACTACCCCCCAATCCCTCCAGACCCCCACTGATTGCTCTTTTAGCTTCTGTAAAATGCTTGGCTGCTGCTTTAGACATGCCTAGACATACCCTGGCATGCCCTGACCCCTGCCTGCTATTCCCCACCCCCCTTCCAGGAAACTATAGATTAAGCAAGCCTGAGCATAAAAACTGCCCTATAAGGTAAAAACGGAGACTCCTGGCCCCACAGGTAACAGTCAGCACATTCCACAGCCCTGAGAATAGCACCTACCAATAAGAAACTTCCAGGGCTGCATCTTATACATCCAATCGGTTTAAAATTATGTTGGCGCACCTATAAAAGGCTCCACTCTCCCTTACTCTGGGCTCTCAGCATGAATCCATTGAGTTGGTAAGGTCTGAGAGCCGGAGCTTAAGCCCGAATAAACCATAAACCTTTGCTTTTGCATTTTGGTGTGTTGGGTCCTCGGTGGTCTTTTTGGGGTCCAGTGGATGAGGTACAACATTAGCTAGGTCAATAAGTGATTGTACCCCTGCCCAAGAGAAAATAGTCACTAGAAGATGTGGTGTTTTGTGTTTTGCATATTCTTTTCTGAGTTTTTCCTATCAGCCTATATAGGAATTGGCACTTGGTAGGAGTCTCTCTATGGATTAAGGGTTCACCTATTTTAAGAAGCCTGGGGAAGAAACAGTCCTTTCCCAGAGAACACTGATTCATGAAAGAATGCTTGAGTGTTAAGAAGAACTCACGAGATTCTTACATAGATATATTTAATATGACATGTGATTACTGTTGTAGATAAGCATTTGTTACTTTATTATCAGGAAGAGTGAGTCACAGAGTACATTAAGTATTGAATACAATAATCAGGAAACAAACACATTTGGTCTGGAATTAAAAACTTTCGGGAAAAGTGCTAACACGTGATTTGATAAACGTTTCATTTCTACTCCATGTTACTGGATATGTCTTATGAAAATGATCTCCAAGTTGTCCATAGTCCCCTCAAACCCCGGTTACTTCACGACATAAAAAGAATGTTTGCAAACCTTATTCAGATCTTGCTGCCAGTGGTAAATGTCTCAGCATTTCCCTTCGTCTATACTTTTGCTTGTACCTCTTCCTAGACAGGCACCTAAGTGTTCTTACTATATTCATTATTACCTAAGTATGATGAGGCACGACTGTTTCAGAGGGAGAAGGGGGAGGGGGATATGTGGGATGATGGGGAGGGAAAACACGTGACGTGAGGGAATGAGCAAATTATAAGACGCGAGTTAACCTGGATATGATGATTACATAGCTTTTCTACTAGAAAAATTGTATAGTGATGAACTGTGAACTGAGGACCAACTCCAAAGATTCTGTTGTGTTGTATTCATCAGTCTCTACTATGAGCTGGCTTCTGTTCAGAGTCCCGGATGTCTCCTCAAGGGAGAGAGTTGACCTTTTCAGTTCCAGGATGTTTGACTAAGACTGAGGAAAGCCTTTCTTTGGTTACCAACTGCTCTCATTAGCCATCTATTTGGGGAAAAGTGTGTTTAACACAAGAAGTAGCTTTTAAAGTGTTGACCATAGAGCCTTACCCCAAGAGAAGGCTAAGTGAATGCTGAATGCATGCATAATGAAGAGACCCAACACTGGAGAGGCCCAAAAATGCAGCCAGAACATGATACCAAGACACACTGAGGCCCAATAATGCAGCCAGGACATGATACCAAGACACACTGAGGCCCAATAATGCAGCCAGAACATGATACCAAGACACACTGAGGCTTTAATCCCAAACCTGCATAGAGTTGCCTGGCCCTAGGGTTTGGATGCTCAGATGTTCAAAACTGAGTTTCGCATTCTTTCCTTTCTGGCACTTACACATTACATGAGAAAGAGGCTCTCCATGTTTGCTCTTTTCCCTGCTCAAGGTTCTCTAGGATGTTAAAATGAACTGCTTTACCTAGCCTCAATGTGAGTCACGAAATGCCTCCCACAAGTCCCCAAGATGACAGCAAGACAGTTTGTTCTTCCATCAAGCTGGGCTGCTCCTAAGTGGCTCCTAGCCACAGGGTGAATTTCATAGGACTGGGCCCTGACTTCCTTTCTTAATCCCTTCTCTGTTTTTTGCCCCTTCTCATGACCCATTTTCTTCCAAATCTGCTACATTCCCAGGAAGCAGAGGAAATGGCTTGCTAGAGGGTATAGTTTCAGGAACAAAAGTCATTTTCCCCAAATTAACTAGCCTTTTAAATGAAACTCAAACCATCAGATGTATGATGGCACAGTTGGCAAATCCCTAGAAGGGAATGCTTATTAGTTTATCCATTGATTTGTTAATGGATATCTTCTATTCTTCAGGAAATAATCAAGTTCATCCAATTGAAATGGATTATCTACAAATAACATACCAAGCAAGTGAAGTCGACAGCTTTAAATGGGATGAAAAGAAAAACTTCTTTCTATTAAGTTCTCATGCAATTTGGAACTGAAATTTACTTGGCACTTCAATGTGTGTGTGCGTGTGTGTGTGTGTGTGTGTGTAAGTGTTCACATGAACAACCACTGCTTTAACAGATACATGAGACACAACCTCCCAATTTACTAGAACTGGTGGTGTCTCTTTGTGCTGATCTGATTTAAATTTTCATTTGACCCTCACTCCAAACTATATCAAACTGGAGCATAAACCCAGGTTATGGGCCAGTACCTAGAAAATATTTCTACCCATTGACCACAATTTAGTTCCAACACTGTCCTACATCCCAGACCCGTTTACAACTGTAGCTCTGTTTTCCAAGAGAGGAAAAGCAAGAACCTCCAGGTTCTTGCAATAACTTCATACTTTCCCAAGCAATTTACTCAAGGGAACTGGCTAGGAGGGGCAGGAAGGAGAAGGCATGCTAAATAGATGTTACACATTCTTCTCCTGGAGAGGTCATCCCACTTTTTATGATTTCTCAGATTTAAAAGAACTTATTTTCTTTGCGTTACCATGGAAATTACTACCAACATGGGTTTTTATTTCCTTTCTTTTATAAGGTTCAAAAAGCTTTCCAAAAAAGTTCCTAAGCTAATTTTAATACATCTGTTGCTCATATATTTCTATTCCGTTTATTATTTTATATGTTAGAAGAATATATGTGTATAGTCTGCTTAAATTTAAAATCATATAGAGATATGAATAGCTATGTAGGTATATAATGCCACCATCTGACTGCAGACACATGGCTTTAAGCATTCTTTACTAGCTTCGCAGAGCAGCCCTTGAAGCACTTCCCACCCTTCCCACCCTTCTCAGCCTTCACTGACCAGTCTAACCACTCACACTGGTGTGCAGTTGGTTTGCAAACGTAGTCAATGGGGTCTTCAACAGCAGCCATCTTGGTGAGGGTGAGATCTGTACCATCTAGTAAATTCTCTGGACATTTTCAAACATTTGGATGTTTTAACTAATGTGAATAAAATATTTACATTTTAAATTAAAATTGTTTTTTTAAACACGCTTTCATTCAAGAAACAGTTCAACTAGATCCTCAGGATCCTCACTTTTCTAGCTGCTGGATCACATCAAGGGCTGACTTTTGCCCTACTGATTCAGTAGAGGGGAGGGATGCTAAGGAGGACTGCCAGAATTCCAGAGTGCTCACAAACCAAACCCATCCGATAACTTCATTCTTGCACTGTTGTTCCCACGTAGCCTGACCAGTGAAGGAGTTTCTCTACAGTGAGCATTCTTGGCAAATATGAATGAATCCCTACCACTTGGAACTGTTGGCAGCAGACCCAGCGGCTCCGACTCATTTTCAGAATGAAATGTCAAAAGTGTTCAGACAGATTACCCTTCAAAATCACAAAAATACAGAAAAGCCAATGCAGGCTCAGTGTTTACTTGAAGAATAAACTAATACAGCTGCTTCACTCTCAATATCCCTAGGAAATAGCCGAATGAATGAGCCACATGTGGGAAAGCTTGGCCTGTGTGAATGAAAAAAGGAAACAAAAGGAGAAATGCAAGACTCAACGGTGTCATCTACTTAAAACGTTTCAGCATTTTATTGAGCCACTAGAAACCATGCCTTCTTTCTTATGAATCAAATCCATATCCTCACCTAGATTACCTGCATACATGGTTCAATTTGATTTTATCGATTTACTAAATTATACGTACCATGACAGTCGAATCTACTAAGAAAAATATTTAAGCAAGACATATCATAATGAAATATAAAGTTCAAACCTTAAACTTACTACAATGGTCTATTATGTGGTGTGTCAGGTGCATGAAACTGAACTTATGAATGTAATTATGACTTGCTAACACAGGAAGCAAAATAGCGAGGGAAGCCTGACTGGTGTTGCTAAAAGATCACATTATTTTACAAAACACAAGATATTCTAAAACTCTCACTTAGAAAGCTTCCACATGTAATCATGTTAATTTTTCCAAAGATGATTTGCTGTTTTGAAAATAATCATCACTTCCTAAACAAATAGATGGCATTACTGGATAATTAACCATAATTAGTTTTGACAATAGTTTCCCTTTTTACCATGTTGGTCTCTTGATGCTGAAATGGGAACTGACTCCATTGGATGACAATGGTTTTAGTTTATGTTACTAGTGTTAGAAAGTTTGAAGTTCATTTTATATTCACAATGATTTCAAGTTATTTGAAAATTTAAAACCTTGCCCACATTTTATAAGCATAGACACTGATTTATAAAATAGTCTATTATTTACCTTAGGTGATTGAATTAAAGCAGTATTTGGTGAATCATGGGGTGGGTATATAGTGATGGAAATATATGGGCAGAATTAAAATGAATTATGTTCAGATTGGTTTATAAGCATAATATATTCATTATTGCATCTAAATAATATCCAGCCGACATAAGGTGCTCTCAGAGAGAGATCAAAAATTAAACAATTTACTTTTGTTTCTAAATCCCTTACCACTTTTTACTAACCAAATTCAGAAATCACTAAAGACATTACTGCTCTGGATGAGAATTAAACTATCAACTACATCAATTAAAGTCCCTTAAAAGGAGGTCTTTTACATATATATTCCTTTTCAGCCTCCTTTAGGTAGCAATCTGTTCTTGTCACAGATAGCTTTGTTGAAGTCAGGATTTTTCTGTAACTTAAGCTGATGGAAACTGGGTAGACCTTCTTTACAAGGCCAGTAGGAAGAAGAAATGGAAAGGAAGGCCCTTGGATAGATCCACAAATCCAAACCAGCACGCGCAAAAGACTAAGCAATACCCTGGGATTTTCCCTGTTTGGATATCTTTGAGCAAAGCTGCTATGGGAAGAGGTGAAGGTGACTGGAAAATGCAGTGTTGCTATAAGGATGTAACTCCCCAGACAGTGTTTACAGCCTGACCAATGACTACTTGATTAACTCCTGATAAAACTCAGAGCGCACAAAGCGGGGCAGCGAATCCTTCTCCATCAGGGCATGAATTCTTTTCTGGGCCACGTCAAAGCTGCTCAGGGAAGGTTCCACAAGGTTCTTCATAGTGATGTCCTTAGTGAAATGGTCAATATTCACCTGTGGGCCAAGAAACAGGGTCACTGAGTCAGCCCAGGCTATAGGATTTGATGAGGTACCAGGGGGGCAGAGTTTCTCAACAGCGAGATATAAGACAGGAGGAATGTCATGCAAAGTAAGAAATATCACTACTGTTTCATAAGCAGTGGGGTTGGGCAACTGATACTGCAGTGAACACATAACTCAGGTTCTGATTTCAACCAGCATTTGACACCCACCAGATGTTGGGTCCTCTACTAGTACCCAACCAATCACCCAACACATATCTTGGCAACACCCTAAGAATGATTCTTTAGACACCCACACACTTACACACACACACACACACACACACACACATACACACACACACATACACACACACAGAGAGAGAGAGAGAGAGAGAGAGAGAGAGAGAGTTAAGTGGTTTCAAGATCATTTCTCAGATAAGTGTATTAAATCCAGAGTCAGATTTGACTGGCACCTGTGCTGATGCCTGACTCCATCTTTCTACCACATTTCCTGCCTTGTGGTGGGAATCTAGCAGGAGAAAGAAATTTTACCTAGGGATCCATGACCTTTTGCATGGTTTTAGAATGGCTATTTCCTGAAAACAAACCAAGAAACCACGGTTCTGACAAGAAAGTAAGTGTGACCATCGAATGGTTAGTTGGCCAGGAGATTGCAACCAGGACCTTCTGCGTGTGAAGAAAGTGTTTAACCACAGAGCTACATCCCTGTTCTCATACCTGCATATTCACCCTTTACAAAAGGCCAGAGATCAAAGGAAAAAGTATCTAATGTTGACACTATAGGATCCTATCACGCATGTTAGAAAAGAAAGACGTGTTAGGATTTCCCCTTTACAAATAATCTCAGACTACTACCCATACAAAGAGTTTCCTCAGTCTTTGAGTGACTCCAAAATTTAGTGAACATTACTGTCCATATTGGATTCAGGGAAATCGTGTGGGATTATAGGCCCTGTCTAAAGCATGATGGGCGTCTGGTTGTGACCGTCTTAGATTTTTCTTTTTTTTCTTTTCTTTTTTTTTTTTTTAGTATTTTATTTATTATTTTTATGTGTATGCATGTATTGCCTGCATGTAGATAATACTCCTTGGAACTGGAGTTATAGACGGTTGTTAGCTTCCATGTGGGTGCTGGGATTCGAACCTGGGTCTTCTGCAAGAACAGTGTTCTTAACCGCTGAGCCATCTCTCCAGCCACCCCCCCAACCCCCGGTCTTGGATTTTTCAATTTCTTTCTGTGAACAGCAAAGATAACAGCAGACAAAATTTCCACAAGCTTCCTTGAACTCTACATATACCTGGTAGTTGACAGTCAATTAATGTTAATGACTTTAAACACCTTTATCACTATTGTCTTGTATTATTTTTGATATAGAAGTGTGGTTGCCCCAACTAGAGTCTAAGTGTCAAATACCAGAGCCTAGAAATTAGGGATGGAGGGGAATAGAGGAGACAAATTTTGAAGGACACAGAAGGGAAAGGAAAAGTTAGTAAAGATGAATGGGAGAAATGCTCCCTGGGCATTAATTAGCTCAGACACTGATACATATATTTTCATATCTACTGTTTACATAATGCAGTCCTCATAAACATTTCTACAAAATACTCTCCATTATTCTTATTTTTAAAAACTAGACTCCGTGATTCATCTAGACCACACACTGGCTCATTTCCCACTTGAGGGTACATGCTGACTACTGGAGGGAGACCCAGATGGCTAGGCAGTGTTCTGGACAGCATTTAAGTCGCACTTTTTCGACCGTACCATTCTGCCCTAGTATTCAATAGGTGCTTGGTTAGGTACTCACGAGTAGGAGTTAGTTTTTAGTGTCTAATGTTGAGCCTGAAGCTTGAGTTTAAATACTTCCTGGGAATGAATGTGCTTATCTGACCCTTAACTGGCCATATTCACCTACCTACCCATCAGGACCAACCTCTTTAGGAGCCTCTGTCTGGATGAATTCTTCATAAATTTGCTTTGCCTTCTCAGCCATTTTGAGAGGGGACTTGATCTTCTTGTAATCCTCACAGGCGATCCAGAACTCAAGGTTTTCCTCACTGAATTCAGACTTCAGGAAACTTTTGAAACTGGTAAGTCCATCTAGCAAGTAAAAAGTCAGTGGACGGAATTTATCGATTTAACAAACTTTATAGCCTGTGGAATAGCTTAGGCTTACTTTCAATATGTCTCATCATCGATGTAAGAACTTTACAAATGTAAACTCAATCATTTCTCATTATAAACCCAAGGAGCAGGTGCAGTAAGTATCCCATTTTGTAAATGACATAGAAATGACGTGACTACCTCCAAATGCCCAGCTGTAAGTGGCAGAGCCAGGATTCAAACCCAGGTTATTTGATTCAAAAGTCCCACACATTTGTTCGTTATCTTAAAACACTTCTCAAGAGAAACCTGATTTTACTTCTTGGAACAAAAACTGTCCAATAAGGGCTACCTACTCTCTTACATACTTGATCTGAGAGAATAATACAAGGCCAGCAGAAAAATGCCAGAGAGATGATGAGGAAAGACTCACTAGTGCTGTCCTATGCACAGCTTTTTAGTTTATGCCTTTATCCAGAGAGTGAAGGGATGGGACAAAGATGTGGGGAGATAGAATAACTCAGCTCTGTTCCTCATGGACACTCACAGGGTCTCTGGCAGTGGACAAAGGACTTTTCTTTTAATTAATTGAATGCTGTGTATACATGTTTCCCTGTCATTCTAGCTCTATTTCTGTTGCTGGGATAAAATACCTTGACAAAAAGCAGTTAGTGGAGAAAGGGCTTATTTTAGGTCACAATTCTAGGTTACAGTCTATTACTGTGGGACTATCACAGCATCAGGAGCTCAAGACAGCGGACTATATCATATCCATAGTCAAAAGCAGACAGAGAATGTATGCGTGCATGTTCAATTACTTGGCTCAGCTTTATTTCTCCACTCACACAGTTCAAGTCCCCCTACCCAGGGAATAAAGCTGCCCACAGTAGGCTTGATCTTCCCACACCAATTAACTTGAGAATGCCCTACAGAAATGCCCAGGTGCCAACCCAATGTAGACAATCCCACATTGAGTTTCCCTTTCCGGGTGATTCTAGGTTGTGTGGAGTTGGCAATGAAACCTATCCATCACAATGTTTACAACATTGAGGTGCATTATCAACAATGATGCCATTCTGGACACACCAACTACCGGAGAAAAGAATACTTATTTTTCAGCACTAGGGATTGAAGCTAGAGCCTCATGTATACTAGGCAAACACTCTACCACTGACCTATATCCTTATCCCAAAATAATCATTTAAAACTTGATTTGTCAATATAGGTAACATTAATTCTGAATGTCAGAAATAAACTATTATTTCTTTCTGCAGGTAATTTTGGAGTGACTGTTATATTTCATGCACTATGATATGTCACTACGATAAATGAAATAAACTTGGTTTCTGCCCTAAAAGTGCTTATACATTCCATGGGAAGTAGGAAGAAAATGAAGAAACTCACTGAACATTTATACAGTGAAAGAAAATCTTTTGCAGAAGAGCAATAGCATCACAGCAGGTACCCAACTTCGATTGAGACACATGGAAAGTAAAGTAGTAGCATTCAATTGGCACCTGAAGGGAAGGGGCAGGTGAACTTGTCACATGCCAAGTATTTATTGTCACCAATTAATTATATATAAGTGTTTGCATATATTGTGTTTAATATAACAATTGTGATTCTGTCTTCAATGTGTCTATATACAAATACAGACAAATTTATATACACACGATAATTCCTGGGCTGGATTCTTTTGCTCTCTGTTTGTTTCCTACTTTTTTAGAATTAATATCTAAAATGATAAAGAGAATTCATGAAAAGGACTTAACAAGATAATTGTAGATTAAAAAAAGAAAAAATCTGAATTTATGACGTTTTTCTTCTCTTAATGGATACATACTCACACACATAAAACTATTTAAACTAAAATTCTAACAAGTAGACACTTTCTGTAGAAAATGAATCCATGTCTGTTTGTTGCAAAGGAAAATGAAAAGTTTCTAAAAGAAGGAGAGAAGAGATCTCATTTTCAACGGGCTATGTCAAGGTCACAGTCTACCCTTAGCAGCGTGCTTGGTGGACCATCTGCCTCCCAAGACAGAGGACAGGAATGACTTGTCATCAACTTCAGGGTCCTGTTTTCCTCTAACTTACCCCCACAGACACTTGTCTATAATCCATTATATCTGTCTAGGGACTATATTGACATTACAAATTCATTTTCCTTCACCCAATTTCAGTTGTTTTCTCTTTTCTTGAATATTTGTGCCTTTCATTTCTATAGACTGTAAATTTCCATACATTAGTTGTTGCTTAATACATGAATTACAGAATGTATGTGCAGATAAAATCAGAGATACTGGGCCATCCCTTTTCCAAGTCATTTCTATTTTTTCTTTTTCTTCTTTTTACATGTGCGTGTGCATGGTGTGTGTATGGTGTGTGTGTGTGTGTGTGTGTGTGTGTGTCTGTGTGTGGGTGTGGCATGTGTGTGTGCGTGCATGTGCATGGTGTGTGTGTGTGTGTGTGCATGGTGTGTGTGTGTGTGTGTATTCGTGTTTGCTTGTGTGTGGGTGCATGTGCCTGAGGACGCTCGTGCACATGTGTGTGTGGAGGCCCAAAGCTGATGTCTGGAATCTTCCTCCACCTTCTCTTTGAAGTAAGGATCTCTCAGTCAAACCCAGAGCTTTCCAGTAAGGGGAACCCCAGGGGCTGGCTTGCACCAGGGATCCCCTATCTCGACTTTGTTGGGTAGGTATGAAAAACAATTTTCTTTGTGCAAAACTTGCTAAGGAAATTACCTAAAACTCTTGGATAATTTGTTTTTATTTTGCCTTGATTTGATTGAGACATGATCTCCCTGTAGGCCCAGCTTGCCTGGAACTCACTATGTGGACTAGGCTGGCCTTGATCTTATAGAGATTCACCTGCCCCTGCCTCCTATGGCATGCTTAGATTAAAGGCATGTGCCACTGTGCCTGACTTCCTTTGATAATCTTATCTGAATAAAATCAGGTTTATTTCTTCTTTCCCTGGTTTCTCCTTTATTACTTATCATAATTTAATCATGTTGAAGTCAACATATATGTTGAAAAAATAAACAAGACCCAGTTTTATTCTTATAATGGTTAAGGTTTTCATTGGTTTTTAGACAAATGTATTGGATAGTCTCTGCTGAAATGGAAAACATCCTCCCTCATTTGTTTCAGCTGCCAGGAAATGAGGTCTTATGAGCACCCACACAGCCAGATCTGAGTCTGCAGAGGAGAAAATAATTCCATAGAATAAGCCCATGGCAAATTCTCATTAGCTCCACAGCCCCACAAATTATCAGGCACTGTGACTCACCCATCCTACTTCTTTGTAAAATGTAGAGATAAAGATCTTGGTCCTCCCAAACCTTGTTATTTGAGACCTGAGGACATATGTCAGGACTCCTTGATGCTGTTAGCATTTAACGCACACCCAGGAAATGAGCATGTAAAGCAGTTTTCCAGTGCAGCAACCCATTTCCCAAATATTGGTTTCATCGCCCTTGTTGAATTCTATAATATTGTTTCAAGGCCTTTGTCAATGTATTTGATTTAACCCAAACTCATTAAATAGTACACTCTACTGGTTGGGGAAACATTTAAAACGATTCTTTCTCTCATCTGGCACTCTCTAGGATTTCTCTTCCTAGAACTTTCTATAGCCACCCCCCAGTCAACTTTCCACTTCTTAGTCTCTGGTTTACTATCAGTCCTTTTTCCTCAGAGACTTTTCCTATTAAATTCTCATCACCCCCAAAGATGGTTTCTGGAGTCAGAGATGAAAAGGGGATTCCAAACCCAATGTCTTTTCTGCCTCCTACTTTAACCTGCTCACTTGACACCCCAGGAGAACTTCCAGGATACAACCCTAAGAGAGCCATCACTTCTTCTCTGGTGACCCAACACTGGGCCTCAGAACATCTCTCAATACACATAGGCACCATCTACAACCCAGGAAGCAGATGAAACCCATCTGACCACTGGCCTTGCAGAAACACCCTGGGGGATGAGCCACATCATAATCTCAGGGCTGGTCTTTATGAAAGATAGAAATTTTCATGTCTAGGTGAAGCAGAACAGTATCTTTATACAGGAAAAGAAGGAAGCCACTTGCAAGACTCCTTTGGGAATGAAAGGAACATTAAACAAATCCAAGTCAGTTTGCTATAAAGGCAAAAAAATTGCAAACAAGAGTAGAACAAATTCTTCAATAGAGATAGCGGTGGTAAAGGATACTGAAATGGCATTGGTAATTGATAAGTACCATGACATAGCTTATTGTTTCAAAGCGTGTGCTTTAGAGGTAAGATTGCCCAGTGGTGAATTCTGGCACACTATATTATCTCTATAACCTGGGCAAGTTATTTAGCCTGTCTGAGCTTCTGTTGCTTGGTATGTTAAATGGAGGTAATAACGCAACCTACATGACAGTGTTCTGGTAAGGACTAAATAATTCATGTACAGCTTTTTTATGGTGCCAAACATAATGATCACAAAGCTCAATACATGCTAGATTTCTTGATTATTATTCATAACAAATTAAAATTTAACCCTTATCATCATTCAAAACCCAACTGGAAAGCTGCCTCATGTATGACACCGTCTTTCCCCACTGCTACCCACTTGCTCTTGAGGGTTTCTGCCAACAGTAAGGAAGAAATCACTTTTTTCTTTTCTTGGGACTATTTGCTTGTTCAACCATCTTAAATATTTTGCTTATTATTTTTATTTTATGTGTATGAGTGAATGTGCATGTAGGTAGGTGCATCCGTGTCATGAATGCCAGTGGACGTCAGAAGACGGTGTTGGACCCCCTGGAACTGGAGTTACAGATAGTTGTTAGCTGCCATGTGGGTGCTGGGAATTGAACTCAGATCCTCTGCAAGAGCAACCAGGGCTCTTAACTGCTAACCTATCTCTCCAGCCCATTGTTCAGCCGTCTTTCTTATGAGGCTTTCTTATTTGAATCCAAAGTTTGAGGTTTACATATCTTCACTTTCCTTTTCCTACTTCCTAGCTCAAATTTATGCACCTAATAGTTAACAGCATTACCCATTGCACTAAATAAGCCACATTAAGTGAAGCATTTCCTTCCAACTCACAGGACTGAAGAATGTGAACTTTAAAGAAAAAATAATTTCCCTGGTTCTGTTACTGTTACAGTAAATTATATCGTGAACAAGCTGCTTAATTCCCTGAATTTTGGCTTCCTTTTCTGAAAAGTAGACATTGTTCTTGTACCTAAATCCTGAGAATATCGTAATCATTAAGTAGGCCGACATACGCAGAACACTTAGAATAATGCACAGCATATATGAATAATAAATTTCAGGTATTACTTTTATTATTATGATCACTTTCAAAAAATGAAAATTGTGGTTGTCCATAAGAAAGATGAAGATAAAGATGAACCAGAAAAAAGGAGGAAGAAATTGGAAACCAAGAGAGAGAAGCAAAGGGAGACGGAAGATAGAACGGATGAATCCAGAACCCAGCTGCTGCATGCCCCACGGGAGAGGCTAGGGTGTTTCGGGAAATGCTCTGACCTTTGCAACTCCTGAGCCAAGAGGGCCCAAATAAACATGCGCTGCCAGACTGAGCTTTGTCCTCATTTGCTCTGAAAAGGCTCACATGGGAGACTTAGAGTCCCTGGCTTGTGTAAGCTCCCATGTGCAATCTATTTTTGTGTTTAAAGAGCAAGATACTTGGTATGTGTCCTATAGGCCGAATAAGTGAATGCAACAGTGCCAGCAATAGAACCGAAGACAAAACATAAGAATTTTATGTACCACAAGCACCCCCAAATTAAATTATTAAAGATAACTTTTAGAGCCAAAGAGATGACTTATTGGGTAAAACATTTGCCACGCAGACCCAAGGACCCAAGTTCCATCCCAGAACCCAAGGTGGAAGGAGAGAACCAACTCCTGAAAGTTGTCCTCTAATCTCCACATGTACCGTTCCCAGAGTAACAAATAAAATCATCTTTAAAAGTCATTTTTAAAATAAGGAAGAGTAAGAGGATCTTTGATATGTAGAAAAAAATGGAATAAGAGCTTAACCTTTTCTTTTATAGGCCTGATACCAATTGGCTTTATTTCTACTCAAGAAAATTTTGATTTAATTAATGCTTTGGTAACTACATCAACTATAAGAGGCAGTAACCTATGTTAATACAAAGGAATGTCAGATGTCCCTTGTAAACTGACAAAGATGCATATACAATGCGCTTTCTCTTCGGAAATTGACCAGATGAAAGAGACTAAATCCTGTCAATGCCCATAAAACCTTTCATAGCAGGTGAACAGCAAGTATTAAGGGCATAAAAGCTGTGCTGACAAATAGCTTTGGAAGTTCTGAGAGTGACTAATTCCTTCTGGATGGACAATGGTGACTTAACAGTTGGCATTTAGGTTAGCTCTTGCAAGTAGAGAGAATTTCAACAGAGACCTGAGCACATGGTATTTCTTCAAAAGAGATTACATGTACAAATCCTACAGAGAACAGTTCAGTTCACCTAAAGACAAGCTATGTGCTTATCGTGGTGGATCCTGAACATTAGACATTTGAACTAGAGCCACAGGGTTTGAAAGATGGCTCAGCACATACTGCCCTTCTAGAGGACCCAAGTTTGGTTTGTAGCACCCATGTTGGGTGACTCACAACCACCTACAACTCCAATTCAAGGGGATCTGACACTGTTTTCTGGCCTCTGAGAGCACTGTAGTTGCATGCACATACCCTCATACATATTTACTTAATTAAAAATAAAAATAAACCTTTAACAAAAAGAAATATGAACTTCATTTATTTCACCTTGGGAATCGGTAAGGACTTTAGGGGAAAGAGAAGCAGCACTTATAGTAGTTTTAGCTTGAAAAGAGTTGGGCATCTTCACTGTGTGGACAGAGTCACAAGCTTGTCAGGTCACAGGAACAGTTGGCAGCAGGTTGAACTAGAATGTACCACCCATGGCTTCTTCTGAGATCTTTGCAGCAATAAATCCAATCCTTTCCAATCCACAGTGAGGTTAAATAGGAAAAGGCGGTTTCTTTACTTCACTTAGGTATATGAAGAAGCTTGCCAAAGCAGGGCAAGCTGACACTTTTATGCACTTGAAAAGTGGAAACAAGAGGATCAGGAATTCAAGGTCATCCTCAGATTCATAGTGAGTTTTGTGTCAGCCTGGCCTATGTAAGACCTTGTATCAAACAACAAAACACATGACACGGCTCATACACACTTCTACTAAGCAAGGCAGGAGGGAATAGCATCTGTCATTAAAGTGCCTTTCTCTTCTACCAACTGCATAACCACACTCCCACAGTGAGGCCACAAATTGGGGAAGAAGGATGTGGGTAGAACGAAAGGTGCTTCATGTCTGTGTCCTGACCCTGACCCTCATGAGAAGCTTGAGAACTTACAGTTGTTCTGCAGGACCTTGTCCAGGGAATCGCGCCACTGCAGCGCCTCATCCAGCGAGGGCCTAAATCAAGGATAAGGAGAGAGAAGGGAGGCGGCATGAGTGAGGAACCAACCACTCTATGATAATGAATTGGTCCTGATTTTCCTAGGCAGAAATGACACAACTTGTGACTCACCCTTGAGTTAAGGACATGTGGATTGTTTACTAAGAGTTGAGACTGATTATCTGGTTTGTTTTCAGATACCCACAATGAACATTTTTAATTCTTTTTGAGCAACCTGATTAGACAGGTCTATTCCTTTTTAGAAAGATTCTATTTGTCCTGAAGTTGTGTCTTGACATTCTTACTTATTGTACACAAGTGCCTCTGGGAAAACGTTTATTCCAAATTTAGGTTAATGAAATCCAGTTGTCCCTTTACCAGGGATGAACTCATGCCATGTCTTACCAGTGCTGCGCATTTGCTGCCTGACTTCCTTTGTTCCACACCTCAACCCCAAAGTCATTTTCTCAAGGCTAATAGTAGACAGTAGGCATCATGTTGCCCCATGCTGGAAATGTAAAGCAAGTCTACATTTAAGAAAACAAAAAACAACAACAAAAAACCCTCTGCATTTATTTTTCCTGCCCAATTAGAATGGAGTAATATTTTTTGAAAGATTTTCTTTTTCTCAGAAGAAAAGTAGTTAATATATCCTGAGTCAGGATGCAGTAAACAAATGCTGAAGACGTTGACTCAAAAGGAGAAAGTAACAGTCAGCATATAATTTCTCCCTTGACTACTTTTATTGTAACATATTCATGAAAGCGTTGCAGGTGTAAGTCTTACACGAGTTCTCTCAGCAGGATATATCAAAGTGAGCTGCTGTTGTCTGGGAGTAAAAGTGGCTGACGTGCTCTTCCTGGATTCACCCTGCTAGAATGCTTGCAATCCCATGTGAGTTCATCAGCAAACCAAAGCAGACTGGCACGGCGTCTATTATGACATGAAGACCAATGGCAGCGTTTTTCCCAAACTGAAATTTCCTTGGTGCTTAAATTATTTAGTAACTGTTCTAAAGCAACCGAGGGATATTCTTGCCATATCTAGCTTTATATATATTGGGGGGGGGATTTAAATAATTGAAAGTAGCAGCTGAGGTTGTAAAGACAATTTCTAGTTTACTTTTATTTTTCGCACACATTCAGCCTCATTTTATCTATGTGAGGAGTCAAAACAGAGTAGGCTTTTCAGTTAAGGTTGAGATCATCACCCAACTTCTCTATGCCTCTTTGCAGGACATGCACAGATTGCTAAGTCCTAATTATATGATTTTGTTTTCAATTTTATGTGTTCACTCTTTGAAAGCCAGACTTGACAAATATGGGGATAATAAACCTTGTGAAATAATCTTATATGGTTTCTATTTTCCTGGATGGAAACATAAATATCATATCAAAAACATACTAACGCCTCACAAATTTATTTCTAACATGTGAACCTGCATCTCTATCCCCATTGTCCCCCAGCTAGTATAGAGGAACTCATGAAGAAGAAATGGCATGAATGTGGATTATAAGACTGTCCTTATATTTTTCCTCATTCATTTTATTGCTAACCATAAAAAGGACATATTTTCTAAAGGTCAATCATTTCCTTTGGCTCTTCTGTATTGGTTTATACTGAGAGCGATTATATATATATGATTTTATGTGTATATGTTTGTAGTGATCCAATACTTTGTACATAGCAGACATCCACCAAGCCCAATTGTTCTCAGAAACAACAGCATATTAAATTACAGAACAAAAGAAAGCAGCTCACTCCCTGAATCTCCTTATTTTATAAATATTCTCATAAAATGAAGTCACTTTCCTGCCCTTGTTTTTCGGTTAGCATAGAGGTGCACAGGAAGACGCAGGTGCCCCAAGCTTAAGCATGTTGCCAGATGCAGTTTGTCCCAAATGGTCTTGTTGTAAACCAAAGTAATGGTCAATATCGGCAGCACATCACGGCCAAGATTAAATTCCTGAAAAGGACATGTGCTGAGCCTGCTTGGGGGTGAAATTAGTTGAAATTGATTTAAGGGCACAGTCAAGTAGGACACACCCACGGCATGTAGCCTAGTGTTCTGATTATCAGCCTAGTAGGCAACAGGTTCATCCTGTCCTGATTCTCAGAATTTGCCAGCCCTCATTAAGTGTGAGTTCTTTGGAAACAAGATAGATGCAGATCTCAATGACCAATGGGCATTCTGATCTGCAAGGTCATCACTGACCACAGAGGTGAGCACAGAGTCTCCTTCCCCTGTGTGGGTGTAAGGGAGGGGGAGGAAGCTAGGTCAGATGAAGGACAGAATAAACATTTATAGGAGTGATTAACTGTGTGTTTTATAATGCCCAGGATAAATGCCACCTGGTTCAGGAAGTGACCATATTGGTATAGAAGCACTTTCTCCACCCTTAACACATTTTACTTGCTGGATCTTTCATACAGCAGTGGTGCACATAACTCCTAAAGGGAACACATTGTCATTCTTGGAGAAATTTATCATTCTCCCCTGTCCCCACAATATCATTCTGTAATACACGAGCAGCCGCATGAGAAAGATCAATGAAACATGTTCAATTTTTTAACTAGATGTGAACACCAAAACATGGCAAGATTGTCCCTCCCAACTGTAACCCATCAGCTGTGTCTATGTCACTGTTGGCCATGGGATAAGGGATCAGTGCATGTTCATGAACTTGATGGGTCATGAGTAGAATGGACTGTAGGCATCCTTTAATAAATAGGTGCCAGATTTACAGTAAACTGAGTATGGCACCTTTTACACAGAGTTACCCAGTTGAAAGCCACAGATGACTTTGATTCGAATGACTAATGCCATGAGTCATCACTACACCTGCTGACAACACAGGCCTGCATTAGCTGAAACCATGGGAAAAAGTTTTAATGTCTCTAAGCACCAGTGACTAGATTTTGTTGGTTTGGTTTACTTTCAGTTTTGGTTTGGTTTGTAATCAGTATTTGGTTGGTACACAGTATCTGGTACATATTTAAGTGTCCTTGATAATGTTCTCATAGAGTTCCTTGGGACAAGGAAAATGAACTTCAAGTTAACTGATGTTGTTTATGAGAGTCTTCTCTGTTCTCCCTTCCTGTCCTACAGCCTATGAACAGTTTCAAGCCCATGAATATTCATTGAGCCCTTAGCCCATGGATGCAGGGACTCTTGGCACCATGAATAGATTATAAATGTTTTGATATGCCACTTCTTCATGCCCATAAAATTGTACATCCTTCTTTACAAGCTTCACTTTGCAGTCAGCCTGGAGAGGGGATGAACACAGACATGATAACATGCTGTAACTTCATTAACCAGGTTTGCTACTGGATGTGTACGGAGGCCAGTCTAGAGTTCTTTAAAGTGATAAACACCAGAAGAACAATGTATTTTGTTAAAAACTGATAACAGGTGGCAGGGAAGGACAGTTAATAAAAGGGACATACTGTAAGAGTATATCTGCCCCTCACATTTGTAATTGAGAAAATTACAAACCATCATGCTATCACAAATTCAATTTATGTGATTTACTAATTTTGTTTATTGGACCTACAGCAGAGATCTTGGGAATTCAGAGGGTGGGCAAAGTTGGAGCACAGGAGGTAGCTGTGACAAGACACATCGACTCTGCAGACAAGTCAAGAACCCAGCCTTAGAGACAATAGCTTCATCAAAGACGTAAGGTTTGAGAAAGAGATCAAGAAAATCTGAATGCAGATGTATGTTCAAATTTTGGCCTGCATACGAACATCAACAAGTGCTAAGGCTTTTCCCACCTGAAACCCATCCATGGGTCCATGGTGACCATGACATAAGGGCTTAGTGCATGTTCGTGGACTTGATAGGTCATGAGCAGAATGGACTATTTCTAGAGTGAGCCAAAGAAAACAAAGAGAAAGATGTACGGTCAAAGGAATGGAAGAGTTTTTTTTTTTCAGTGTGGTATATGAGTACTTATTTGCTTCTTGTGGAAGAATAACCAAAAGGAAAAAGACCAATTATGAATACTAACGTGGAGCCTGGAGTGGTGGTACACACATGTGATCTCAGCACCCAGGAGGCAGAGGCCGGCAGATCTGTGAGAAGGAGGTCAGCCTCGTGTATACAGTGAATTCCAGGCCAGCTGGGGCCTGTCTCAAAACAAAACAAAAACAACAAAAAGATAAAATGATAAGAAAACTTTGGTTTTGGTGTAAAAACATAAACATCTTTTTTTCCCCTATTTTTTCCAGGAGTCTAATTTTTTACTAAAATGGGAATTTAAAATATATTTTTTAAAAAGAAATTACTTCCTAAAAACAATTGCCTGAAGAAGATGAGAGGTGCTAAAAATACCTTCAATTAAGAGGTTATTTTCTCCTTTATTTCAGAGTATGTAGGTTAAAAATAAATACAGAGAAATGTTTAAGTGAAGACAACAGAGGTTGCTGAGCTCATGCAGAATGCATTCTTTCCCTGAAGGGTAAAAGGCACAGAAATCTGCCCAATACGAAGATGCAGAATGGGGCTTACGGGTTTGGAAAAAAGTAGGAAGTGGTCACTGTTAAAAATACAGCACACACACACACACACACACACACACACACACGCATGCACGCACGCACGCACGCACGCACACACACACCCCACAAGCATTCCCTAGGGATAGGAAAGTTGGTTTGTTTTT